CCCAGCTACAGTGCAGTGACATCGTCATAGCTCACTGCAACCTCCAACTCCTGGGCTCAAGCGATCCTCCTATCTCAACCTCCCAAGTAGCGGGGTCTCCAGGAGTACCACCACGCCCGGTTATTTTTCTAATTTTTGTAGAGAGGAGGGTCTAGGTATGTTGCCCAGGCTGGTCTCGAACTCTTGTCCTCCAGGAATCCTCCCGCCTTGGCCTCTCAAAGTATTGGGATCACAGGCGGGAGCCCCCGCGCTCCGCCCCACATGTTTTTAAATACGGCATCAGTGAAAACCCGGATCCGGTGTGGCTGCGCGTGGACGCGATCGGCGTTCGCTCGCTGCCCACGGCCTCCGCCGTTCCCGCATCCGCGCTCCGGGTCTCCCCGCGCGGGCAGCGGCGCGGGGGCCGCGGGGACCGTCCTGCGCCCGCCAAGGTGAGTGGCGAGCGCCGCGTCTCCTCTGGCCTCGGTGGTAGTTCGGTGGGGACGGGGCGCGATGCCCGGGGGAGCAGAAAGAGACTTTTCTGGGGGCCCGGGAGGCCGTGCCGCTGCCTGCAGGAGTCCCAGCCGCAGGAAGCCCGTCCCTGCGCCAACAAGGGAGTGTGCGTAAGAGAAGGACGGAGCCGTGTGCGGAGCGGGAATCCCAGTCTGTTTGGAGGACGTAGGATCCCCGGGCAGAGCCACTGCCTGAGATTGGAACCGATGTGGCTGCTGAAGCGGCCCAGGGGAGGCAGGCGACGGGCCGCGGCCTCGGCTGCAGCCGGGGAGGAGCGCGGACTCCCGGCCGCCGGGGACGAGGGTTTCCCCGGCCCTCCGCGGTCCTCCCGGTCCCGCCACGACCGGCCTCCTCCCCGGCCCGCTGCCCGGGGGTCCAGGACCTGACTCTGCCTCGACATGTTGGGAACTGCTTCGTTCTTCCCCGGGTCTACCCTGAGAATCACTTGTTGCGAGAATTCCGTGCCCAGGAGTAGCAATTCTGACTTTCCAGCCGCAGAGAACATTGCGTATTTACTGGGGATAGTGCCCTGGGAGAGCGCCCAGAACAGGTTTTGGTTATCAGTTTGCAAGCCATTGCTTAGGATTTGTTTGTTTGTTTTTTAAGTTCAGCACAGGCTTTGCTCATCTTCGGTATTTTGACACCCTATTTAGTACCCTCAGCACATAACTCATTTTGTGTAAGATACAGAAGTAACATCCATGTGAATTTAAGGCATTTTCTGGAGATCTTTTAGTATACAGCAAATGCCACGCAAAATGACTTATTCTTAACACCAGAGCTCTCACAGAGTGTCCCCTACTCGCTGCCACAGCTCTCTGAAATAGTTGGGTAGCGTGTATTATGCGTGGTGTGACTGGTTTGTTAATTACATTTGTGCAATGCTTGCAACTCTGGCTGGGTACAACTTTGAATACAGCAAGTTGGTCTTCAGGACCTTATTCCCTTTATCCATCCTTCCTCCTCTCAAATGAGACTCCCCAGAAGCTCATGACCAATCCCGGGCTTGCTACTGATGTCGTGCTACAACTATCGCCCTGTTTCTCTGTGGTCCACGGTAGCCTCCAGTGGAGGTCCTTCAGGCTGGGCCTGGCCATCTGCATTGAATAAGCAGCCCAGGTATTTGCACACTAAAGTTTAAGAGACACCAATCTAGACAGCACTGTAGTCTCAGTTATCAAACTTTCTCCTTCTCCTGAGAAAGGACAAGCCAGAGGCAATGTTGTAGGGTCAGGTGATCATCAAGGTCTGCTCCAGTTTTGAAATTGCTGTGATAACTCTTCATTTGCTGGGCTCTTGCTAGATGGCAGTGTTTGCAACAGTGAATTAAATAGTCTCAATTGCTACTATGTTGCCATTGCTCATCTTTTATTCTTCAACAAGAAAAAAGTAAGTTTTCAAGTTTTATGTTACAAACAACATTTTTGAAGAAGAGATTTGAAATAGGGTTACATTTAGGAAATAAAAATATGGTTTGGTTGGGCGTGGTGGCTCACGTCTGTAATCCTAGCACTCTGCGAGGCCGAGGTAGGAGGATCTCTTTAGGACAGGAATTTGAGACCAGCCTGAGCAAGAGCGAGACTGTCTCTACAAAAAATAGAAAAATTGTATGAGCGTGGTGGTGCACGCCTGTAGTTCCAGCTACTGGGGAGGCTGAGGCAGGAGGATCACTTGAACTCAGGTGTTTGAGGTTGCAGTGAGCCGTGATGACACCACCGCACTCTAGCCAGGGTGACAGAGTGAGACTTTGTCTCAAGAAAAAAAGTATGATTTGGACAATGTTATTCATATATGTATACATATTGTTCAGTAGGCAGACATTTCCAACCCCCCCTTTTTTTTTTTGAGTCAGAGTCTCACTCTTTCACCCTGGCTGGCATGCAGTGACATCATCATAGCTCACTGAAACCTCAAACTCCTGGACTCAGGCGATACCTCCTGCCTCAGCCTCCCCAGTAGCTGGGACTATAGGTGCTTGCTACCACGCTGCCTAATTTTTTCTATTTTTAGTAGAGATGGGTCCCACTCTTGCTCAGCCTGGTCTCAAACTCCTGAGACCAAGGGATTTGCTCAAGCGATCCTCCCTCCTCGGCCTCCCAGAGTGCTAGGATTACAGGCATAAACTACTGCACCTGG